GACAATATACCCCCAAGTGAACAACCAACAAGTATTTGGCTGGTACCCCTCTATTATTCCCAAAAGGACATATTCGTTTTCAACGAACCCTTCAGAAATGCAAGGAACATCAAGACAAGAGGAAGCTTACCTTTTTGGAGGGCAGCAAACTTTCAACTTTCCTTTCAACCACGTTCGCCTCTTAGGATTTGGATGTTTTTCTGTGTCTTGACCTGCCTAGGGCATGATCATGTTCATCAATGAGGAGAAGGTGTGTGAGGTACCTGGCACAGCGTACCATACTCTTCCAAGCGTGGAGCCCCGGAAAAGGTGCGTTCCAGTCCTCCAATGCTTTCAAGAAATTATGTCAGGCTGTTTAAATATGTTTAAATAATTAGGTATTTTTTGTAGACTTAGTCTGCTTTGTTGGATACGTCCATATCGGATTTTGTCAACAGATGTCGTATATGATATATATGAAAGGTTTAAGCCTAAAGGTCTTCTGGATTGGTGTGACATATTCCCGACCAACGAGACTCGGTCACGTCAGGTTGTTCATGCTCGGACCGAGAAGATGCATCCGAAGAACCCTGAGTGTTACTACCCCACTTGTAAAGTGCTTTGCACAATTGCGATGAATACTGACCATGTTTCACCTCCCCTCAGGTTTTACATTGTGTTGCTGTCAGTGTTGATGTGTGCCAGTATATATCGGTGCATGCTAAGAAGTTTCTTCTTGACTGGACTGTGATTTTCGGGAGAATGGATCGGCCAGACACTGACTGATCTATTTGCGATCTTTCGGCATCGCGATTCCGCACAGCAGATGATGCTCTTGTCACGTTTGTGTTTTGAACCAGGAGAGCTTGGCCAGTCCCAATTTTTGGGGCCAAAAGTTGCAGAGATGTACTGCGTAGACCTGGATGTACCGGTCTCAGACCCACCGGTCCTCGTCTGAGTCGTCCGACCCCCCCCTTAGAGCGACGTCCTTGCTTGGATGTCAGGTCTGAGCGAGCCGTTAGGTTGGTCAGGTCGGTCCAACGAAAAGGTTGGTCCTGTTGTTTTGTTAAAGTTTTTTTGTTCTTTAATCATAGGAGCTGCTTGTTGCCTTTCACTCCCAGTCCATTTGGGAATTGTGGCACCTAGATTCTTCCAGTAGAAGGTGTAGCACCGCCACACTGTTGAACAAGAATCGAACTGCTGGTAACAGGGAGATCCTTCAACTACCCGGTCACCTCTCACACAAAAAACCTGTCTGGTCGACCTTTTAACACTAACAAGGCAGCCTTGAACAGGCAAAAACACCACGCATCAGCACAGTCGTCGAGCAGCACAGTCACGGAGCTTCGGGGTCGAGCTCGTGAGACGAAGAGCTCCACGAAAGAACGTTCGTGGCAAGAGGTGTAGTAGAAATTTCTACAAGTCCTGTTGAATAAGGAGACGGCAACATGTATTTTTTTTTGGAAAAAACTGGTCCCCCAGCCCATGACTGTGGATGGCGCACGGAAAGAAAGCGTTTCAACCGCGCCTTCTGAACCAAGCGATGGGCAATGCTTCGTTTTTCCGCTGTCGGAGTCTTTGGTCTTCGAGGGGTTCATTTGCATGTCGCCCTCTCTGGATGGGGCAGCTCGGCTGCGGTTTGGAAAGAAGATGTTTCAAACACAATGGTCTTCAAACGTGATTCGTGATAATTTGTGTTGAGAGACCAAAGTTCCGTAAAGAATGCAGGTGTTTGGGGGATCGTTGCTTGATATCAGGATACATAAGGATATTATCAGCAAAATGTGGTCAGATCCCCACGCTAGACGTCTTGCTCCACCGTGCGTCTCCGTGGACGACGGAACCAGGCCACCCCTGCGGGGACCCTGGCGCCAAGTTAGCTCCCGTTGATTACCTTCGGTGGTTTGCTGGCAGTGGTCGTTCTGCAACAGATCAGATGCTGTGGTAATGTCCAAACGGAGGCACCTACGGTGGAGGGCAAGGAACAGGAGGAGGAGGAGGAGGAGGAGGCAGGTGACGGGAAGGAGAGTTATTCAATGTCATCCACATCTTATCAAACATGCATAAAAATGCGATTGTTTCAGACATCCAACCTAGACATTGACAACAGGATCCTGCAGCCCTTCAACCACCATTGTTTGTTGGCAAAGAATGGCTCATGTGTCATCGACCAAGAAGGCCAAACACCTTGCCACGTCAGCGGCGAGTTGTATGTGATGAGCTGCAACTTCTGATGTCCACGATTCGATTTGGCTTTGTGAGGCGTGGAGCTTTTGGCAAGGAACAGCAAGTGGATCAGCAAGGTTAGCCCTCTCCCCGACGAACAGCCCACGAGGATCTTTCCGATTCCTTTGTACCTGGGAGAAATTCTCCATGCACAATGGAATAGGAAAGATGAGTGATGCATCTGATGTGCACAATCTCAGGAGGCGGGAACCTTCGTGCTGACAAGATCCAGGGGACTATCGGCCCAACGCCGTGCGCATAATCATGCTCGGAACTTCGAATCATCAGCATAGCTGAGAACTGTCAGAGAGCCACGTATACTCAATGCTACAGTCACCCGACCGGCAGAGGGCCGGTTTTCTGCACTGAAGAACACTGGCAGGGGCTGGTTGCAATTGGAGTGCTGCGGTGGCAGTGGCATTCCGGGTCTCACAGCAGTGACGCCCGCACAGCTTCCTTTGGTTGCCCACTTGCTTGCCGTGAAGGCCGATCACCACTGTTTGGTGCTATTGGCCATCTTAAGTTTTGTGGAGGGCCTAAACGCCGGCGGTGAAAATATACATAGCCTGGAGGCCTGGGTTTGGCCTTGCAAGGCTTACAACAAGATCTTCAGCAATACTATATATTATATTATATATATCAATATATATATAATATCACTCAAGACGGATTCTTTTATGGCTGGGGAACACACCCAACCTGATCTTGCTAAGGCCTATAATTAGTCAGCTAGGTGCAACTTACCCGGCCACAGGCTGTGCGCCCTTTGCAACTGTGTGATGTGTGACACAAAGACAGACAGTCCTACGTCTTCAGTCCTTCAGTGGTTGGAGGCTGGTGGGCCTTTTGACCCCCGACTCATAGGACAATGATCCACAAGCTGAGTACAAGGGTTGTAGATCATGGCCACGGGTGGGTGAGTCCCATGTCTTGTACATTTCGCTGCTGATTGAGAGGACTTCTTGCAATTTCTTGAATGCTGTTGGTGCACGTGGTGAATACCACAGCTTCCAAACCCTTCTGTGGTGCAGTAGGTTTGATTGTTTTCATGATGTTTCTACATGTTTCTACGAATTTCCTCCCCCCAGCCCACACCATCTAGGGCCTGGTTCATCACAGACTCCTTAGATTGGGGGAGGTGGCTTTGCTCCTTAGAGTAGAAGAGAGTTTGGGGAGTTGCGCCGGTGGGTTTCATGGTCAGGCGCGATGTCGGTCATGAATCATCCATCGAAGCAGGCAATTGGATTGAACATCCGTGATCAAAGTAGGCAAATATTGTCTGAATTCATTATTTCAAGCCATCATTTGTTCACTAATCTACTTAATGCCTTGTCAAGCCCAGGCTGTTGGCACGAATCATTGCAACTTGCAGCTGTCCACGTCGCAGCCGCTCCCAGCCCAAGGTCGCCAGGGCGCCTTGCTCTTCCTCGGTTCCTTGCAGAGCCCTCCCCTAAGGCGGGCGGTCCGGAAAGAGTCAGAAGTGTCACCTGTAAGCACCCATTTTGGAGGTCCGTTCGTAGCTTCTTGTGACGTTACGTTACGTAAGAATGCTCCGGACTCGTGTCGCGATGCCAGGAGCCCCTACTAGTAGCCGTCCGATCGCTCCCTTCGTAGTAAGGCCAGGAGCCCCGTTCGTAGCTTCTTGTTCCTTGCGCAGAGGGGGAAGACTCCATCGGACTTCCCGGGCTCCTTCGCCGGCCGGATGTTCGCCAAGCCCGGCAGGACACACGATGAACACCTCCCAGCCATGGTGGACATCCAAAGCGCCCGGCAGCCGAGATGTGGGGCCGATGAGATGCAGTGAGAGCAGAGCCGAAACGAAGAGGGGCGAGATGATGTGAGATGTATTATACAATATGTTACAGCGTTTTGGGGAGCCACCGTGTGTTGAGATGTGTTAAGGATTTGTGCCAAGAGTTTTTACAAGCGTTTAGGTTGGAGTTCTGTTTGAAGCTGTTTGAATGTGTTCTAGCTAAACATGCTTGTTTCGGTAAGTACAAACGATTGATTGTGATTGATTCTCGATCACTACAGGACCTGCCGAACTGCGACTATCAGACAGGAAAATTCACCGGAAAAGGCCATTTTCCTTGTCCAAATAGACTCAGATGACCACAGAACAGCCAGACCAAAGAGACACTTGCACGTGTGACCGACCTGGACTCATATATACTCATATACTGTCTTATACTCATATATAAATGTATATGTTTTCTCTTGCTTCACTGATGCGCCGGGTGTACAAGGGATTGTTTATGATTGTTTGCAGCCAATGGTTATTTTAGTATGTTTTCAGTGTTTTTGCTTTGGGGGGAGTCAATCACCTTCTCTACATGCTTGGATGAAAACTGCCGTTGAACTGGATATTTTGACCTGGCACCTTCTTGTGACTTCCAGGATGACTCCCTGCCAAAGCATGTTCCTTGAATCCATGATTCTTGCAGAGACCGGTTTTAACGTAAATTCGCTGCCGGAGGTTTCCTGATTCGCAAGTTCTCCGGGGGTCCTTCACTGCATGATACTCGCCGCGGAGGTTGCAGCGATCTGCCATTTTTTGCGTGTGAAGCATTTGAGCAACTCACTGAACGCACACCAACACTGAAAACACAGATAGATGAACATGACAGAAGACACACATTTGGCCCGATTGGATCATACAATCAACAACCTTTGCAGGTGAATGAACAGGACATGAATACATGTTTGGAAATGACCGACACCTGGTGAATCGTTTCTTCGATCTAAAGGAAGAACGGATAATCCGGTTGATATGTTGAATTTTGTACTCCACTGAACAAACACCACTTGATTTTCTGCAGCTTGTCGGTCCACTGGGCCGTTCATGCAGAGGCGGTGGCTCCTGTTGTCCTTGTTCCTTGGCATGTCATACTGAAAGAGTGGGTGCCATAAGTTAATCCTGCCAAGTGCAATCAATGGTGCTTCTGCATTTGGCAAGTGGCAGAACCAGGGAGGGAGATTATATAAACCACTAAGAGGATCCTTTCCCTGCAGCACCGTGTAGCAGGGAGAGCATGCTTGCTTCTAGTTGACAGGGCATTGAGAGGTGTGTTATTGACTGGCCCTTTTCCAGCCTACTCAGAGAGAATCGTGGTTTTGACTGAAGGGTCGCTTGAGTGTCTTGGTCATTTGGTTTGATATCAACAGGGTTATGGAGAATGTGGACACTGAGGTTCTTTCGTCAAGTAATGACCCCAAAGGTGTGGCGTGCGGTCAATGTCGACCCCTTTCGCCCGTTGACGTGGAGGTCGAGACGGTGTCTTGACTTGAGTCGTTCTCATGTTTCTTCCTTTCTGGAGTCCCATCTGTTTTGTCCGGGCTTCCTTGCTCTGGCGGGGACCTCGGCAGATGGAGGCGGATTGTCTTCAGGAGCAGGGGAGAATCTTGCAAGCAAAAGTCGCAAGACCTTCGATCCCAAGGTGCAAGGGGTGGTCAATCCCCAATCGTGAGGGGTTTCATGGGGGGTTCCCCTTTTGTGCAACTCCGTTCAATGCCACGCCAACGTGGAAATTACCAAAAAGACCTTGTTCTTGGTTCCCAGACACTCCATGGGACTGGCACATTTGCCTGCTTACATTGAGGTGTTTGAAACGAGGGGTCAACTGGGGTGGCATAGATTCCATAGGGCATTGGGCATGTTCCCTTCACACACACACACACACACACACGCAATACATGGAGTTTCACTCTCTCTCTCTCTCACAGTCTTTTGGAGCAGCGTGATTTAGGCTGGTCATTGGATACACACCTTTGGCAAAGGACTTCCTGGGCACTTCGCAGGTGCCTTGGGCTGTGCGACCGATGGCTCACAGCCGGACTGGTCATTTGTCAGTACCAAATCATATATACATGCATTAATCTAAGATCCTATGCTAGTGACTTTAGAGTAGGCTCAGAAGGAAGTTTCAGAATCTTTGAGGTTTTGGTCGTCCTACCTGGACGATCCTGTCTGGACGATCTCCTGTCTTAGATCCCCGATGCTCGTGCAGGGGAGTCCAGCCAGGACACCCAGATGGTCGGATGGTCCTGGTAGGACTACTTTTTTACTCTCCTGTTCCATTAAAGAAAACAAATTTTATCGTATGTTATACGTGTTTATACGTGTTTATTTATTTACTGTATTTATTTAACATTATTGATTAATTTACGTTTTTTGTTCCAACATGTTCAATAACATAATAGATCATAATGGATTAGTTTTTCTTTTCTTCTCCCAGGCCTCTCAGCTTCGGCTGGCTGTGGCCCTTTGAGATCTCGTCTCTCGTCGGCCTCCCGAGGCGACGGGCGGCGCAGGGCCGAGCCTCGTGCGACGGAGAGCCATGGCCGTGGAGCCAAAGGCGAAGTCGAAGGGAAGGAAGAAGAGGAGGTCCCGAAAAACAGGGTCGGTCGGTCTATTATATAATTAGGTTCTTTTTTCCGCACACCGAGGACAGATACTATAAGACTATATGTGACATTGACTGGGTTCTGAACAATGATCTCTGATAGGGTTGTTGGATGGTTGTTGGCATGTCCAAGGAGATTTAGTTGGATATGGGCAATCCAAACCTCAGAGGTGTTTGTTGTTGTTTGATCATCATACGGTCGCCCCTGATAGTTGCAAGTGCCCTCTTGCTTTCTTTTGGGATGACACTGACGTGGTTGGTTGGTGGAACATGGTCTGCACGTCGTCCAGGAAGGTAAATGTGTTTGTTGTTCAGGTCAATGATACCGGACCTTCACCCTTTTCTCCTCTGAAAGAAACCAGGTCTTCGGTCGGTGTCTCTTGGAAGCCCGAAGACCTGGTTCCGGACCGCCTCCACCGGGCCCGGCGGCACGGTCCGTCCAGGCGCCGGACCGCTCGTCCGCGCGGCTGACGTACTTTGCGGGCTATGGCCTGGCGGAGCAGACACGATGGATCATGGCGGCCGCGGGCATCCCCTTTGAGCAGGCCGGGGGAGGTGTTGGAGTGAAAGGAGTTGAGAGAACTAGGCGCTCCTCCCAGGCGCCTTTGACAGCGGCTTCGGGAGGCCCCCAGTCCCTGAATTCCAAGGAGTGCTTGGAACTGGCTCAGCTGGTCACATCATTTTGCCTTGTAGGCCGGGCCACTTTTTGGGTCGCTCTTTCTCGCTGCTTTGGGCCTATGCGGCCAAAGACTGAAACTGTTCGAAGTGCGGAATCAGGAGGGTCACCAAATCTGACATTCCAATCCCAGACACTCCATGCAACTGGTGGACCCAAACCACCCCAATGTGGGCAAACACCGTGGAGTCTCTGGGGATTTCTTCTCCCAGGCGATTTCCCGCAATCTGTGGGGGTCTTTGTTCGGAGAGTGTTCCGCCGGTTTCTGCTCTACCACAGGTAGCGCTGCAAAGCCATGAGGACGTGCTGCGATCCGTGCTGCGACAAACGTTGGTTTTTGATTAATGAAGAACTTGTTTGACACAGTGAGTGTTCTTGAAGACGTGGTCAAGTCAAGGTGCACCTTGGGGAAGAGGCAAGAGAATCCGCAGATCCATCCACCACAGTGCATGTGGTTGTGTCAAATTGTCAAACCTAGGTCCTATAGGTTATACATGGACCCTACTACATGACCATTGTATACCATTGTGGCATATGTTCACTTCTCCTGACGTCGGCCAAGTAGGTGTATCGGATTTATGTTTTGAAATACAAATAGTTGTAACATTTTTTTACTATTGCATGGAATCATGCCGAATGGTCTTGGGTCTGACGTTTTACATAGTCCATCATAGTTCCACATAAGACGCATGCCTTTCAGAACCTGTGGAGAGCTGCTGGAGACCAAAAGCCGACTTCTCAAGGAGTTCCTGCAGATGCGCTCGGATGGAAAGCTTCTTTTTGGACAGCTCCAAGTCTGCAGTTCTGAGTTGGATGGGAGTCCCCACCATGAACGAGAGCCATCGGGCCGCCATTGGTTTCCAGCCAGACTCTGGTTGAAACCCTCTCCTCTTGTGCTTTCGCTCTTGCACTTGGCCCTCAAGCCTTCGTCTTTCCCGTGCATAGACGAACTTTCCTTAGCACAGGTGGGTGGCCAGTTGACTAAGTTGCATCCAGCACTGCTAAAGATACACTCCGGCTTACTATCATGGAAGTGGGTGGCACCATCGGAACATGGTCATCCTTTCGAGGCTTTACAGTTGTTAGGGAAGCTGATTTTGTGTTGGGATAAATTCAAGGCTTTACAGGAGGCCATGCCATCGACGTAACCATGAGTACTTCAGCTGAGTCTGAGTGTATGCTAAATGTTTGTCTTTGCATCCCATCATTAGCCACCTAGGCTTCACCAACATCCCCCGACCGTCGGACCAAGCTTGTATTTGAGCTGAGGAAAAGCGGGATTTGAGACTGTAATCACCTGCCCCCCACGTTTGGATGATGAAAACCTCTTCATATGGACGTGGTTATATTCATCAAGAGTCTTGGATTCTCCATCCTAGACCTAGACCGTACCAAGGCTGCCCTTGCTGGAGATTGATGGTTTGAAACTGGTGCAGTCCCAGGCATTGATGGTGGCGGAAGTCTTCGCAGTCCACGTGTAGCGTAGCGGAGCTCTTCTTTTTGACCACCACATGTTTCATGAAAGAGACCGCAAACAATGCACCTGGCTGCTTTTCTTCCTTCACAGGCCATGCTGCGCTATGTGGCCATGAAAGGAAATCTTTGGGGGCAGACGCCTGAAGAGTCAGCGCTGGTGGATATGGTGGCCGAAGGCATCAAGGATGCGCGAGGTCGTTGGGCGGCAGCGCGAGGTCACTGACGCGCGTGTGCTGAGACACAGACCGTTGGCGAGTGAGTTCTTGTTCACAAAGAAGTACGAACTCTGTTTGCTGGCGGTAGGTTTTGAACTTTGACGCCTAGACAGGCCATGTTTTTCATGTTTTAAGGCTGAGGTTCTGAGCTCCTTTCACCTCCTCCCTAATTAATTGAACACCCACCAGGTGTGGAGCCATGAAGAGATCGCTAGGATGACATCACCGACCTGCTGGGGAGATCTCGAGAGTCCTTCCCATGGGGGCCGACCCAGATGCCGAGGTCCCGCTTGTGGTGGAGAAACCTACCTTTCAGACCTATATCATATCCATATAATTCCATATATATATATACCTCAGACCATACCAATATATATATATATGGAATATATGCGTACATGGACCCCTTTTCAACCACCCCAATGTAGGTCAATAGGTCAGTCCCATGGAGTGTTTGAGTACTACCCCACCCAGACATCCTGTATTGCTCGATGTGGGCTTGCGCAGATGACCGGGAGCCCTGTGGGTAGCCGTGTGGGTATGTCACTTGAACCAGCATAGACCTTTCCAGAGGGATGGATGATGGATTCGTTGCTCGATCCGTGGCTGAAAAATGTTGTTGAAGAGATCGTAAGACCAATAGAATTTGCACGACACTCCTTTCCCAGCTGTTTTCCAAGGCTTACCTGTCTCGGGAAATGAGACCTGTCAGGGTAGGCCTTGATGTGGCCTGCATTCCAAGAAGCTATGGCCCCATATGGCCCCAGCTGCATGTGGTGGCCTTGTACCAATCATGCTTTCCTGGAGTTCACCTGTTTGGCCTTCCGAACATTGTCATCCGAGGCTCTATATAAGGCCATGCCATCCAAGGACCCATGATGATTTCAGCTGGGTGTACGTGGTTTCGCTATGCTTTGATGTTGGATGTTCCTTTTGGAAGCCGTCCTGGGAGAAAAAGAACCGTCCTGGCTCCTTTCGATGACCGCGGGGTGCGCTGCGCACAACAGCCAGGTGTGGTGGTCAGCTTTCCCTTTCAGCCCGACAAGGCGGGACTCCCGGCGCTCCTCAGTTCTGCAGACGGTCTTCTTGAGAATGGGTTTTAAGGGAACATCTGTCTATGACTGAAGGGTGAAATCACCCACCCATGGGCTTCCTGTAGATGCATCCCTTAATGACGCAAATTGGAACTTGAGCTGTTGAACGGTGGTTCTTTTTCTTTTCGACTGACGGTCTGGGATGACCGCTGAGTCAAGCTGAACAGAATGGAGGCGTTGAAGAAAATGCAAACAAACTCCGTTTGCTTCACGTTGAAAGACACTGGACCTGGAGTGTTCTGATACTACATAATTGATGATGTTTGGGGATCCCCGTGGATTCTCCCGCACCTGGTCACAGTCTCTACAGAGTAGCCACTCCCTTCAAAGCCAAGACTCTTCAGAATTTTGAAGCATCTCAGAATCACCCACCAGACCGAGGATCCAAACATATCCAAACTATTCCAAACGGGGGAATGTCGGATCTCCTGCCCTTCCGAAGCGTGTCGCGTGTCATGCACAGGCCGCGCTGGCAGCCGAGGTTCCGCAGAGGAGAGCAAGCGATCGTAGCAGACCTTGACTGGTCCAGGGAAGGGGGTCAGACCGCGTGATGCGGTCATATTCTTTGGACCAAGACGAAATGACTTTCAAGACAAAAGACGTGTCCAAAAAGCTCACACGAAAGACATGAGAATGATTAGAATGATACATCAAGATACCGACACAACAAACGCTGTACACAGTAGTCTGATGTAGTCTGTATATAGACTAACTAACCGGATTCACTTCAATTTAAATGGACCCTATACCAAACAAGGACAAATCGCTGGAGTCGACGAAACATCGCACGCCGCCGCGGTGAGGACCTCCAAGCAGCTCGAACCGCTGGAAGCTCTCCTCCGCACGCGCCCGGACGGCAGCTTGGGCATCTTGGCCTCCGGCCTCTCCGCGGCTGACGTGCTGCGACTTGGCAAAGCGAGTGGACCAGGGCACGTTCGCGTCACTCCCGGTGGCTTTGACCAGGCTGGAAGCTTGCACACTCCAAGTATATTTCTAGGGTTTTCTAGGGTGGTGTTCACCAGCGCTGGAGCTTCCACACCTCAATTACAAACCCGACTCGACTATTCCCAGACCTTCCGAAAACAAGGCTTCTTGGAGGACCCTAAAGAGTAAATCCCAAAGTGCCCAGGATGCTTCATCGCCTCTTGTTGGAGGGCTGTCACCCGTGTCAGATTGATGGAATTGGCGGACAGCAGGGCGGCTGTCAGTATCTCTTGTGGGACCGGTTTTGGAATCAGCGTCCAAGCTCAAAGGTATGCAACATTGGATGATGGACGGGACTTTTAAGGCTCACATTCGCCAGACTTGGGTCAGAACTGGTATTGGATGATCGCCCAAACAGCTCACTACGTGCAGACAAGAAGCTTGGTCATGTCGAAAGAACCCTCCGCTAGTTGTTTGGTCCGACTTCTTCCTGAAGCCTTTCAACCGCCTTTCAACCCATCTTCTGGTCCCGTAAACACCAAAAGTGGGTACCCCAAAGCGACCCTTACTGTAGTGAGTTTGGCCCACCGCCATCTTGAGCCAATGTTTATTGCACTCACCACCATTCTGAAGTCGTTCCTTTGCCTCAACCCCTATAATTTCACCCATCCCTCATCCAATGGTCCTATTGCCAATTGACTTCCAAAACTTTGCTCCTGTTGGCTCACTGTTGGCTCAGTCTTTGGCAGTTGACCCATTCAGTGAGACTCATTGGATAGGACTTTTGATGCTCACCCATGGCGTCCTTCTCAATTCTCAACCAATTCATCCTCTTTCATGTCTTCAGCCATCTTCAGCCATCTTCAGCCTCCTCCTCCTCCTCCTCCTCACCCAGCTCTCCTTCTCCACGTCTTGGGAGCATCTCAATGCTCCCTCGACCCATCTCATCATAAAATATCACGCCTCTTCACCTGGGCCCAGATCCTCCAAATTCAGAATCCCAACACCCCTCTCAACAAATCCTTTACCAAAAGACCCATGCGCTCGACATGAATTGTTTCAAGCTCCCAAAGGGGGTACCCCCCATGGTTTGTTGCTTGGCAATCCCGCGAGCAACATTGGTCGGGGGCAACAAAAAGCAACAACTTCACCACAGGCCTCTCTTGCCCATTCACCAATGTAGTCATCCAAAAAAAGAACTCTTCAGGCTTCAGGTCTCTTCCTTCCCTCGATCTTCTTCCGGAATCGTCAATCCTCACAGATCTGCGTGTCTCACCATGTTCGATCCATAAGTCTTTCAAACCATCTACTACACCACCACCTCATCTCAGCTTCGACAAATGCCTCTCATGCACAGCTTGGTCCTGTTTTCGTGTTTATGCTCGGATGACATGCCGCAAGCCCATGGCTCATGCTCCTCATTCTCCACATGCTTGCAATCCCTCTGACATGGTGCCCCATTATGCTCTTGATATGGCAGGTGATGGTATCCCACCTGCACAATGGTAGAACACATGGAGAAGCTTCCATTTCGATCAAGAGTTTATCAATGTTTTGTTACACATTCAATGACCAACGTTAGATTGAAACTAGCCTTGACAGTCGACCTCGCTTGTGCTGGTGCAGTTTGTGCGCAGCAGGTGTTGCAGGAGAGAAACATGAAACACCATAAGAAACTACAGCGCTTGAGAATCTTACGCTATGTTCGTCGTGCAACGCGCGAAAGTGCAGGGAACTATATAATTAGTTGAAGTGTGCGCGTGCTTGTCGGAGTTGTGCCATCCAAGCAGCATTTGTTTACCCTTGGATGCAGTCCACCTTGTAAGGCTAGCAGAGCTGACGGAAGAGCCGCTTTGGCAATGAAGTTCGGCGGGGCGGCTTTCTTGAAAGCATGGTCCACGGCCGACACAGACACGAGTGGCCATGGTGGCAGTTGCTGGGTGAGTTGCCTCAAGCTATTCATGATCAGGACACTACTAGACTTGGACCTTAATGGCGCGAGGGTTGCCCGTTTCAATTTGTCAAGCGCCCATAGGTCTGCGAACCCCCTGAGCGATGGTGAAGTGAGGTTGTTGGAAATTCGGCCGGATGCCATGGCAGCATATCCCAAAGTTGCAGCACTTCACAAGCAGGCGCCTGGTACTGTAATGTGGTGTCTTTTGTCGGTGACAAATCCCTGTACAGTGCTTGTTTAGACAGCATTTCTTCGTTGTTGTGATACTGTTACTGTATTGTCGGTGCCAGCGCGTCATAACACTGATGCTGGCAGGCGTTTTTTTAACGGCGGTTTGTTGTGCGTTGGTGGTTTCGTCCTTGCTTTCGCCGACATCCACCCTTTGGCAATACAATCGGATGTGCTGGTTTGAATTCAGCAAGAAGCAATCTCACATTGCATCAAGGTTCACATTATGAATTATATAAAAATATATAGTTATATTTACATCATAATATATAATTCTAGTTAATCACCATCAGATAAATTGGTCATATATAGAGATATGTTATATATATATACCAAGGGGATTGGATAAGGTAGTGGTGATGAGTGGTTGTACTTCGCTCATCACCAGACCACCCCCAACCCCCCCCCACCGTTTGGTCCAGGAATTCCAAAGAGATTGCAAGGTACAAAGGGGCCCCTGATCCATTCACTCGTACGGCAAGGGCGCGGAACTCCACAGATCGATGGTTTGGGGAATACGTTTTGGGCCTGGATAACAGCACGCTGTCCATGAACTGGATGATGCAGGTGACCAGTTTGCCCCAGATCCGCGGCTACCTGGATGGCCCAAAGCGCTATCCTTTTCCCAAGGGCGCTGAAGGCCTGCCCGGTGCTCGTCCATCGGTTCCAGCGCAGCCGCCCCCGCGTGGTTGTGGGTCGGTGCCAAGGAAGGAGAATCGTAGGAAGGTGCTTGGTAGGGTTGTAGTATGTCGTAGTAGTGGTTGAAGTCTTGAGGTAGCTTAATCACGTTATCGCAGATGTGATTCATCTAGTACGCGAGTTCTCCAAGGTTTACGCGATTGGCTTGCGTGAATGTTGGGCTGATCTTGACTGCACCAATCCTCAAACATGTGCCAAGCTCCGTGTCCTTCGGGGGGGCGCCCATCTTCAAAAACCATGATGGTTTTGGGGAGTGCATTTGCCCAACTCTAATATGTCGCTGCAGCTTAGCAAGGGTACTGCTGAAGGAATTGTTTCTTGACACACGAGCAAACGATTCGCCACCCAGACCCAGGGTGTTCGTGGGTGCGCTAGGCGAAATGTACTTGCAGAACGTCAACACTGTCCTGGGCAGATGAGGTTCACACCCAGAAAACATGATGTGGGTAGATCTCGGGAACCCACCTAACCAGTGGGTTGGAGATCTATTTGTCTCCTCTCTTTCCTGTTATGAGGAGTCGGAGTGCTGGCGGGTAAATCTGACAACTACTTATCCAGAGCGGGGCCACTTCGTTGTATAAACACGGTGGCCCATGCCCTGGATAGTTCTTTGTTTTTCAAGCACCTGCTATTGAGTATGTCCGAAAATTAGGGATTGCCAGAGGCTCCCTGATATGTCCAACTTAGGTATGATGACCTCATATTCATTCAGCTTCCTTGGTGGATGCTTACTGCTACAGCGGAATTGTTGGACTTGGGAGGGTTCTGAATGCGGGGTCATCCGTATTTCCGCGATTAATGGATGGCCTGGACAATTTCAGGCAAAGACTCTTGCAAACCATTGCAAGCCTCGTTGTTTGCGTGTGTGAACATCCTCATGGTTTGTAGTTGTTTGAGGGAACTGCTCCCCCAGTTTACGAGACTCTCTGCCAGCAAGAGTCAGAGTGTAGAAAAGGGTGTTGCGCAGTCTGAAGTCATCACAGCAGGGGCCTTGAATGGCCTTCCACTGCTTAGAGCTTTAATGACACAGCTTGGATTTGGATGGTTATTCTCATCCGGCGGTTGGGGGTCCAGCCAACTCTTCACTTGCCGGTGTGTTCAAATTGAGGAGGCAAACAGATTTGTCATTTGTTTGAACTTGGTGGATCTTCAGCTTCATGTACAGCCACGATGGGCCCGATCTCTATACATAGTGACCACAGGTCGACATATTTTGGGATTTCTAAAGCACCTGGAGCTTCTAAACAGTTACGGCATTTCCAGTAGTCACATGTAGCCACTATGCAAACGGCACACACAGCTTCAGACACATGCACACTTTCGACAGTTTATGACACTATTTGTGATATTAGTTGCATCTCCCAGAGAGGTGATCGAATCTTGCAATCACTATATACTATAAGTCATCACATGAGTTAGCCTTCTTGTGCATCTAACATGCCCAGTTGGAGGCCATCGCTACTAGGTTGGAGGCCATCGCTACATGCGCCGCGGTATATTCCTGGTTTCATCCGTATGGCACCTCATCGATCGGCCTGGCTCCCCCACGTCGCTGACCGCGCCCGCTGAGTATCACAGTCCACACACTTTTCATGCTAAGTCCGCTGGCACGCCGCCACCAACACCACGCCGCAAGCAACAAATAGAGCGACCTTTTTCATGCTCCGGAGACCAGGACACGTTTGGAAAACCGAACGGTCAATCTCTAAAGACGTTGCGTTGGCTACCTAGTATGACCTAGTATGTACTAGAAGGTTTCATTTCGAGGTATCCCTTGTCAGGACGTGCTTGCATGTTCCACATTAGATCTGACCAACGGTGAACTGACCAACGGTGATGGATCAGTTTGCTTGCGTGCCAAGGTGAAGTACGGGAAGCCCGCCTCCAACCTCTTCGTCGGCTTAGCCAACAGCGCCCAGGGCATTTTGCCTGAGCCCCGGCTTTCATGCGCATGCTGCGACCGTCGACCGCTGTCGCCATCGATCGCGGAATTTGGGGGTGGGGGCTGCAACCGGGAAGACCACAGATCCTGAAATGGAAGGCTGTATCACAACTGCATCAGACATGAGGTCACTGTTTAGATCTAGCTACTTGGTCACGAAGCGCATTCTGGGTTTGAGGGTCTGGGCAAACCCAAAAGCGGAGCTGTGGCGCAACGGAGCAAACATGCAGCGTGTTTTTTTAACAATATTTTGTGTTTCTACCAATGGATCTCCGGTTTCAAATTGCCAAAAGTAGGTGGGTCGTGGTAGGTCTCAGTTCGGTCGTTGCGGATCCAGTTCGTCTCAGACAAAACCCTTGGGGTGAACTACGAATTGATTCACTGCATGGGTGTATATGTTAAGTCCGAGTGACACCCGATCGCCCCTGGCTGGATGGAACGGTCGAGTCCTGAATTTTTCAGGGGGGGGTCGAATCGGTCGAAGAGGTCGGGTCTCCCGTCTCTACGGTCGAACACACCCCACGTGGTTCGCCAACTGCTCCATCCGGATTTCTGCTCCAACCATCAACCATCGACCGTTTTTGGGGTCTCATAAACTTCAAAACCTGTGGTGAGTCCACGGTGTTCACTTCAACGAACGCCCAAGAAGTACGCCTGGGGAGTGTTTCCATGGCCCATCAGTGGCCCACCGTGATAGAGCAATTCTTTGATAGAGCAAGATCACCTTCCAAACCAAGCGATTTTGGTTGCTTTGGCAATGCGCACAGCCTGATGACGGCCGATCATGAGACTGTGCGTTGAATGGGATTGGTCTTCGCCAGGTAAAAGAAGACACAATATATAGATTTACATAGATTTACATAAGTACCTGCTACACCAGAAACGTGGAAATTTGCGGAGCATTGCAGAATTCATACCAATTTGGGAGGAGACATAGTCTTATAGAGTGCACAAGGGTTACCCGTACATGGGGCATAACTACCCGTACGCATTTGTAAGTTGCAACACATGTTGAGCTTTGCGGCGGGGATTCCACGCACAGAACAATAATATTTGACTGCATTTTTTGCACTATCCATTTGGGGCTTTCAAAGGCGTTCAAACCTGAACAAATCGTGCTTGACCTTACAAAAAGGCAACCTTTAACCCGTACTCCATACCCGTTCAAATATATGTTCAAATCCGTGTGTACCTGACGGCATTCGAAAGGCGTTCAAAAGCCGTGCACAAACCGTTCGCAAATTGTGCGGAAGGTCTAACATGTTGTCTTTTGTGGGGAGGTTGGAGCCTACCAGGAAGTGATTTAGCTGGACGGTCGTAGCGTAAATGTTTTGACCAAATGCCCAAAAAAACACCTGAGCATCCTGAGCTTGAACAGGCAGTGCTGCAAAAAAATCCATGCTGCTGTGTAAATTGCTGTTCGGATGTGTAAATCCTTACGAACAACGCAAATTCAATTAACTCCAGATTGCAAGAATTGTTTTCAGGTTTTATGGGTAGCAGGTGTGTATATATATATATGCTTATATGACTTATGTGGGTATATATACTGTATATGCACATGTTGCATGTGTATCAAAACGCTGCAAATAAGGCTAATTTTATGTTCAGACTGCCAAATCGCTTTTGAACTGGGACGAATGACGAAACACTGTAGTGCTATGTAGCGCTTGAAGTATCCAAAGGCGCTGCCTGGATGTTGAAGCTTAGAGAAGTGACTGCTTTAGACCTCAGGTGTCGGAGTTCCTGGCAAAGGTAACGCGTTTGTCTGTCTATGTGAAATTCTCAACTGACAATCAACTTAATGCCGGAGTTTGATAAGAAGCAGAGTGACATCTCGATGTGCTCTTTTTTGGACCGATGGTCGGTCATTGAAGCAACTCCCTGGGCTGGGCAACGTGCTGATCACGTGCAGCCAGGTCAATGCTGATCATGTGCCCTGGTGTGGAGGGGAGTGCTTGGGGGGGTAGAGCCAATGGCGGCTGTGCAGCCGCACACGGTCTAAGAACACGAGCCTTGTTGATGGTTAGACCCAAACATCCTTCAGGAAACTATAGAAGTCTGCACCAACTATTAATATGTGTTTGCTCGGGGTTTGGGGTAGGTTAGGTTTGGGCATGGTTGCCTGGCTGTTGGCAAGATTGATTTCTACTTTGCTAGCACCTTTCATCACTTGTGTTTGCTTCTGCAAAAAGGTTCATCCAGAGGTTCTACTTAGTCACCAACTCACATCATCATGGACACTGTGATGCACCAATCCAACTCCAACCAAACCCTACCTCAACCCTCAGACCAACCCACCATCTAACCACCTCTGAACTAAGCGACCCACCATAATGCACCCAACCAAGCAAACCTCTAAACCTCCAGCAGCCTTGCCTCTCTTGGCCTCTCTTGGTCTCTCTTGGCGAGGTACCCCATCGGTTGGATCGGCGACAAGACCAATCGCTGCTTGGAGAGACCTCCGGAGACTGCGCTGGTGCTGAAAGAAAGAGACTCCGGTCTGCGCCCGTTTTCTGGACGGTTCACCGGAGGCCCGGCAACGTCCGGCAAGGACTGTTCATCTCAAGTCAGTGAAACCACCTCAAGTTAGTGAAAACGTTCACCGTTACCATATTGGTTAGATCTTGAGGTTTGTTTGGAGGCGAAAAATAGAGGAGACGTGACTAGCAGATGCCTCAGGCCTTCAACTGAGTGCCATTTGGTGGGGAAAGTCAGACCTGGCAATCCCGGGGTGCTGGCCCTCGTTGAAAAATCACTGAAGGAGAAAATCCTGCCCCACCTGGATCTGCCAAAACAGTTGCATGATGTTGTATTCCTGTAGGTCATTATTCCCCATTTTAGGTACAGGGTTCCAGAATTCTTGAACTTTTAGGAACAGCCGGTTGAAGTGTAGGGAAACTTATGTACTTTGCCCATTCGCTTTATAGACAGGTTTCTTTGTCCATCTTCTACTCACCAAGTGGTCACCAGGGTGATCTTGAGTGGAATGGCCTTCTCAGGCTATTTCTTGCTCCGCGGCAACTTGCTGGTCGCTGTACTCTCAGGTGCGCGGTCCAGAAATCACTAGCCGGAATTCCTGAGATTGGTGCGAAGTAAATGAGTCATGAACAGAATCTATGGTTCAGGAAAACCTATTGGGGGAGTGTCAGTGATGGCCCAATCCTTTACAAGCGAACCTCACCAGGGCGCACCAGGGGCTTTTGGTCTAAGCCTCGAACCTCGTATACTGTGTACAAATATTGTACAATCCGTTTTCATCATTGAACGTCTCAAAGATTACAAGAGCGTATGTAGCCACAAGATCGGGATTGTTCTGGTCAAACGGTGCGTTTGTAGGAACGAAACGAAGCTAGAATCGCCATGCGACAGTTCAGCTCACAAGAATTAGATTGGTGTTTTGCATTGTTGCGACCTTCCCCGTAGATCTTCAGTGTGGCAAATCGTGATATCCAATGGGTCAAATTCCCATCTCAGCATCCGTTAGGCTTTTCAACCTGCCCGCAGGTTGATGCACCGGGCATGACTGGGACCTGCAAAAAACAGGTCAAAAGACTTTTGGCCAAACATTTTTGGGACCTGGATTTTGTTCTACTTAGGGCTTATGGTGTGGCCCAATACCAGTAACTTCAGTATTTAGTATATTTTAGTATATTTTATATTACCCGAGTTCTACTGGCTCTTTTCACGGAACCCACTGGACAGTTTGGCGACATCGTTGTCAGCCGTGAGGCCTAGCCATGCTGGCCGCGGTGTACACCTCGAACGTGGTCCTGCTCTTCACCGGAATCTGCATCTTCACATGGCTCCCTGGTGGGAAAGCCGTGTGTGAATATGAGGGCCTGGCAAGTACGCAATCAGATGAACACGAACAGATGACGCTGTTCACAGCAAAACATTGGTTAAAAAGCAGAACAAACAGATATGAATGAAACACATATCAAAAACATGAACATCGACCAGTCGGAAGAGGAAAGCGGACCTTTAACCGCGGAGTCGATGACGGACTGGACGTTTGAGTCGTCGCGCGTCGCAGGTCTGCAAAAGGGAAAGCATTTAGGCGGTTGTCCAATGATGTTAAAGCTAAACTGAACCAAACACGGGTGAATCTTCAGACGTTTTGAAGAACATGGTCCTAATAGGAGGGCATACGTGGGATATTAACCCAAGGTTCATTCACTTCTCAGTCATGGAACGTAACTTCTCGCAGCGGAATGTGCAGATTGGTGGTGGAGAATTAATGGAGAATCCATGT